GGAACTGAACCCGCAATATCTCCGAGGTATGCCTGTATAGATATAAACTGCAGAAACTAGTATAGCATTAAATGCAAAGAGGATACATGAATATCTATATCACTATCCCCATGTGTAAAGACAGACAGAGCCAGTAATAGGATCACTGTGTTAATTATGGTGTGTATTACACACACACACACACACACACACACACACTATATGCACAGCAGTATACACACACACGCACCCTTATTGGATACATATCTGTACAGGTTCAAGTTTTTCAAAGTAAGTACACAATGAATAACACCATCACTTCAACCCCTTTCTCAATATTATACTATTTTACACCAAAAATCCCAAACTCTCCCCTGGAATTGAACTGATGTCCTGCTGTGCTTCCTGAACAACAGCAGTTTTTTTTCATTTCTTGCTATCTAGAGCCCAGAAGCAAATGGTCCTTTTGGGGAGGCCCATGTGCACCCCCTTAGACTACCTCACAACATATATAGAAGACAGGGTGGCTACGCAGGCAGGAGGAGGAGAGAAAAGGAGCACTGGGACAGACAAACAGCTTCAAGCTGAGAGAACTAAAGAGCGTGGAGGCAAGCAAGGCTCTTCCCCACACGCCTTGCAACTCTCCACTTGCAGCTGGGAAATACTGGTGGAGCCACGCTGCAGACTGGGATAGGACAAGGGGTTTCATGGGAAGCCTTCAGGGGAAGTGAGACAGCATGACAGAGACATTAGGGTCACTGTGTGTTGAAAGGATTTCTTTAAATGGGTTTTATTTTGGCAGGGAAAGGATTAAAGTCTGTATTGCAGAGGGGCTGGATTTAGCCTCACTAATTGCACTCTGCCCTCTGGCTGGCACTGGAAAGACCTCTCCTCTTTCCAGAAGCTCAGTGCAGAGAGAAAAGATGTGCAGTGTCTGTGGCAGTGCCTATGAGACTGAAGGTGGTTTCTTATTCCCAGTTCCTGACTCCTCTTTCAAAGCTAATCTTTACACAAAAAAGATTGTTAGTAATGAACTACGCAAGGTAAAGATTTAGGACGTAATAAATAATGTGCATTTACCAATTAAAAAATGTAAAATAGTATTACGTATCAAGTACAAAGACCTGAGATTAGGATGGGATGATGGGGCAAAATCACTTTCAGGTCACCCCAAACCACATGTCCGCTATCGGGGGACATCGCTAAATAAGTCTGAGCAGGGCACTGCCTGACCTGAAACTCGGTGTTTGCACGCCAGCCTGCCCCTGGATGGCCCGTCAGGCCTCTGTGCTACGTAAATAAGCACTGTGACTAATAAACTGTGTGTGAAAACCCTTTTTGGGTCACCCCAAAGCACATGTTGCAGAGAAAACCAGGCAACGTGTAAGGAGCTTCACAGAGTGCTTTGCACCCATGCTGTCGTCTTCCTGCTACAGTAAAAAGGAGACTACAGAGCAGTCCAGCCCCTGCAAACCAATGTGGTGCAGTCTTCTCTACTGCATAGAGATCTACTTAGTGACATTTCCATCCAGAAGCTCCAGGCTGACTCTACTTGTATTTTAAGTCTGCTTCTCTGTGACAGAACTCCCTTGACAGCAGGGCAGCTTTTGCCAAGCTTCTGACCATCTAAGGTCACAGAGGAGGACGATGCCATTTCCTGTGGGAAAGCTCCAATTTCCAGCCAGTTTCCAATCTGAGAGATGTGCTGCCTCAGCCTCCCACATGGCTGGCTTCCCTGTCATTCATCCAGTCAGTGACCATCTCTTGAGATTTTCTGTAACTGCATAACACCAGGACTAATACTGGGGACAACACGGAAGCAGCTGCACATCTCTTTCAAATCAGTCAATTAAATAATAGGAGAATCAAGTCCCCATGCTCCCCCCTGCTGGAAAAAAATTACCAAGTGAAAGGCTGGCCCATTCTTAAGAGAATTTTAGGGAGTCCCCTGATGTCACGTTTGCCCAAATCCAGTCAACTTTAGGAGAACAGGTTTACTCCCAAAACCGGCTGCTAGTTTCATCCTATCCTTTACTGCAGCTTTTGCTTACTGGGCAACAAACAACATGGGGTTTCTACCTCCGCCACTCCAGCTTGACTGAGTGACATTATAGGTCTGTGAGCACTATTTCACCTCAGGCAATGGAGATATAGGATTGTTCAGATGGAAACAGGGCTGAGCATGTGCTATCTGCTTATCTCCTCCCACCCCAGGACACTCTTCAAAGGATCATGCAACACCCCGGTTGGAAAAAAAAAATATCACTGATCTAAATGAACTGAGATTGGACAAAACCAAACGCTTGTAATCGGATACACCATTGTAACAGATACACATGTGTACATCTCAAGCTTTCATAATTCCCAAATGCAGAGAACAAATTTTACAAGGGGCCTGCAAAGTATTACCTGTTCAAATGATACCGGCTTTCATTATTTCCAGCTGCCACCTGACAAACAGCTAAAAAGCATTAAATACTTGCATATCATTAGGGTGTCTCACCCCAACCCACCCAGTCTTTCATTTACTTTCAAGTACCAAAAGATATGCAATTATCAGCTGAAGGGACATAATCCTAGTGACTAACAAAGCCAAGATGGATTCCAAACTTTAAAAAAAATTCTGGTGTTCTTCCCTGAGGAAGCATTAAAGGATTTCTGCTGTGACAAAGAAAGAACACGCATGCCGTTGTGGTGTTTAACACTTAGAAAAATACCAAAGATCCATCAAAACATTTGCATAAAGCACTAATGTAAAAGTTAAATGGCTAAATATTTTTTTCTTCATCACACTCATAGGTAATAGCCAAATGATGCACTGACAACAGACCAGTCACATTTCAACTATAACTTGTTATAATATAATCTTATTTTGTATCTTTCAGCTACAACATATATTACTGTTGTTATCATTTCCCTATCTCACACTTTGCAGGAGATTGCCAAAGAAAGAATATGTATAAGTTTGGTCTTGAAAGCAACTGAAAATTCCAAGCTCAGGGTTCAATCTAATCTTAGTTTCGTGTGAAAACCCCAGTGCATATTTTTTTTTTAATATTGCATGAAATTAATTGAAAGCAAAACCTGGGCTCCAGAACCTTTTAACTTCCATAGCTATAATTTGATATTTGTTTCAGGCAAATCACCCCCCCACACACACACACACACACAGGTACAGCTGTGCTCACATTTTTGTACAGGAATTTTTGTTCTCAGAGTAGCATATAAGAAATTTTTCCACATTTTATTCCACTTGCTCATTACTTATGGGAGGCCAGAATATTTTCCATAGACTGGTAGACTGTTTAGCTACTTTACAACACCCAGAGTTGCTAATCAGCATTGTTTCAAACATGTGTTCATATGTCAACACTTTTGCCTCTGTCAGAAAGTTAAATATGGAAACTTTTTTTTTTCCTTTAAGAAATCAGAAATCCAAATAAGGAGATCACATAGCACTACAGATTCCTCTAGTGAATCCATTCCAACTCGTTCCTTAGAAAGGCTGCACATGAAAGATCAAGGGGGCCACTAGGGACTTGGTCTCAATCCAAAATATCCAGTAAGGGTCTTTCAGAGTTTAAAATTATCTCAAATCATTCAAGTGCTCACTCTACTGCATCGGCAGGGCTGTACTCATCTTCCTTCTCCACTTCAGTACCTTTAGAAGAAACTACCATTCTGTTCTTCACAAGATCTTCAGTTTTGTCAAAGACAACACTATACTGTAACAAAAATGGAAGCTATCAAGAAAAAGATGCAGATGCTAAAGTTAGATAAGGAGAATGCCATTGACAGAGCAGAACAGGCTGAAGCAGACAAGAAGGCAGCAGAGGACAAGTGCAAACAGGTAAGTTGCAATAGAAGTAATTGTATAAGGAAAATGTGGAGAATACTGTAATAAGAGTATTAAGTTGCAAAATCTTGATGGTGAGAAAGCAGGATAATACTGCCAGGGATTTTTCCCCACTCACCAACTTTATTTTGAATATTTTC